AGAGACAGTGAGGTAATGAGAAAGTGACATAGGAAAGGAAGTTGGGGGGGGGGGAGGCAGGGCTCAAAACGCGCCTTGACATCATCTGATAGGTTTTCCAGCCTGTGCCGCAGCTATTTTTATGCTTTCAACTCACAGTATTTACAGCTCAATGACAGCCAACTCGCCAAAAGTGGGGGTGGTGGTATATCCCAGAGTGGGTTGGGGGACTGAAGAGCCGCTCAAAAGCTGTGGCAAAGGTCCAGGTTCCCAGGCACACCTGCTGCTGTTGCCTTTTTTTACATCTGCATGGTGGTATACCTTTGGCTACCTGTCATGTCTAGGAGTTTTCTGAATGCTGACTGGCAGAGCTAGCTATCACCAGCTAGTTGAAAAGATCAGGGTATGTAAACTTCAGGCTCTTCCTGAGAACTGGAGAAGCAAGAATGTACACTGCTCCCAGCTTGATATTTCTACTTCTTCCTGAAGGTCACTGTTGGTGGGAGGCAGGATCCTGGGAATATCCAAAGCAAACTCACATTACATAAATGTGATCCTTAGCTGAGAAAAAGTAAGCAACACAAGTGTCAGCGTGAAGTCTCTATTTTGAAGTATAAAATTAATAGTTATAAGACATCAGAACTTTACAGTGTAGTGGGTGCAGCATTCTATTATTTTTCCAGCTTTTTTCTGCTTGCTAGAAATATCGGAGACACATCTTCAAATATAGTGGGCTTATACTTCTTTATAAGGGTTCGTGTGGCTTAGACCTTGTCTGAGGTCTTTCTTATGTTGCCTGAGTGTGCATATATTGCAGCTGTTTGCCAGTTTTTAGCAGTACAGTGTTTGGATTTCATCACTAAACTGTGTGCATGCAGATCCTTGCAGGCATTGTGTTGTCTGAGAACATTTTTACTGGGGGAGGGAAGACTGAGAACCTGCTGCAGGGAGGACTAGAGGTGAAAGGAGGAAAAAAAGCACGTTTTAAGTTGTTGTGAGTGGGTTGTTAGCAAATTTTTTATCTGCTCATGAATTTGAATTTAAAGAATACATTCATTTTGGGCATAAAATTAATGATGCAGTTCTGTATTACAGTTAAGCTGATCCAGAGTTTGGCCTGTGTCAAGACTGGTGTAGTCTCTTTCTTCCTCTTCCCAGCTGTGTTCACCAGCCAGGAGCCCTGGTACTCACCCTACCTGTTGGTAATGTTGTTTAGTAGGTTGAATCAGGTCATTAAGATACCAGATGAATGTCAGAACTGGTTTTAAGGAGGCTAAGAGCATGTGTGGCTGGGAGAAGGACAGGAGAAGGTGAACTGGGAAAGATCCTTTTGTTGGTAGCAGGCTGTAAGCTGTAGCACCTTGCAGATCTGATGCTAGCTTTGCACAGGTAAAATTTTATGTGCTCCTGGAATTTAAAGGTCAAATATCTATGGCAGGGTTAGAACTTAACTTGAAGGTGGTTTACTCTTCCATATTTCTCTTCTGGCACAGAATGGGAATTTGAAAAAGCTGCTGCTTACATGCTGTCTTGGCTTTTGAGGATAGAAAAATAAAAGAAGAGAAAGTTAATGAATTTGTTCAAAATAATAAGTTATGATAACTGGCTTTCAAATACAAGCATTGCATTCTGTGCCCATCAGGCCTCAGAACTAGTAGCGGTATCGATACAAGCCATATGTGCACCTGATGTTACTTTTTATTCCTGTGTGGGGGTATAAATAGTAATGCAGCATCTTGAGAAAGAATACGTTCCCAGAGTCTGTGTCTCATTTCACACTTGGAAGTCAAAGGATTTAAGGCTCAATAGATTTCTTCTGGACAAATTATGAAAATTTGGCCTGATGTTTTCTAAACCAGAGATCTGTGGCTGATACCTAGGTCCTGTTGATAAAGGTGATCTTTCTGCCAGCAGCACTGCTGCCGATTCCAGGGGTAAAGTTGTGCAAGATGCTGAATGTTGGACATGCATTGGTGTGGGTTGATTCTACTTTTCTGGAGACGTTAAGCAACTGAAACCGTTGTTGGAAGTCCTACTCTGCTGTGAAACGGACCTTCCTTTCTACCCTACTGATTTCCAAAGTAACTGTCAAAGTTACTCATCAGGCCTTACTTGTTCCTACAGGGCATTGACATTTCTGTCTGTGTGATCTTTGATCAGACTTTCACATCTATTACCAGTACATCAGGATCCAATAAAACAAATTAAACTTTTCTTTTAACTGTTTGATGCTCATCAACATCTGGCAGTAGTGTCAGTGTTTCACACTAGACAGGTTTCTCTTGGTCTTTATTCATCTCTCAGAATCCATATTTTGCAAGGAGGTACCCCACCAGTGCTTGCTTGCATGTTGAAGATATCCTCCAACCTGGGCCCCGCAAAGTTTGTCTTCTTAGAGAATGTAGGGCATTATCCCAGTCCTGTTTAGAATGTTCTGGTCCATCTTTCTCTGTTTGGGATAATTGTACCTTCGTCCAGAACAGTAAATAACTCTGTAGGACAGATTTGATACTGTAGGACAAAATTTTAGAATATCTTGCTCAGGAAAGAAAAGATTTATCTACCTACCATTGAGCCAATCGGGTGTTTTTCTTCCAAGCTGCTTTCTGCACAGGAAGAAAGGTGTCTGCATACATATCTGTAGTTCTGCAATGATACATTGAGCAGATCAAATCTTCATCAAGATGGAGTTGTCAATTATAGCAGCAGAGGATTAGTTCTATCATCAGATTGCCAAAACTGGCAATATATTTCATGTATTACTAGCTGTTTGGTGCCTCTCTCAGATCTTAAAGTTTTCTTTATCGGAACTCGGGCAACATCTTAGGGCTGTTTCGGCTATACCTGGGTATTGGTGAGTCAGCTAGATAGAGCAACCGGCTCACATTTCCCAGGCCTCGTACACTGTAGTGAGCTGCTAGCTCGGAGGCCCGGGTTGGCAAAGTAATAGCAGTCTTTGACCTCCGGAGCTGAATCTTGTCATTTCCACCATCCAGATGGTGTATTGCTTGCCAGAAGAAGTAAGACTCAGTCTGGCACAGGATGGTTGTTCCTTAGTTATTACAGTAATTATGGGACTTGTCTGCACAGAGTATCAGGCCTGATTCAATGTGCAGTTGGGTGTTGCTGCTGAAAGGGGAGAGCGGGACAGGGTGTTTCTTTCTCCCCTCCTTCGTCCGGGCTTTAGCACTCTGGTGCTCTGCCAGGTCAGCTTCCTGAGGCAGCTCTCTGCAGCGTCACGGCTGCTAATGCTCACGCAAAAGCCCGCTCATCTGTTTATGCAGTAATTTGACCTTATTGGCCAAAGTTCATTGTGAAACTGAACCTTTACCTGACTTTTACATATCCTAAATCTAAGATGAGAGTTTGTGTTGAGTATACATTGGTAATTTAGGAATAATGCGATTACGGAGCTTTGTATTGTTACAAAATGTACTTTTTTACCCACAGGAACTTTAGGGTTTGGATTCTTTTTGAGTGAACAATGAACATTACAAAGTAAGAAGAGTTCTATTGAAGGTACTCAGCAATGTCACTGATGCCTTCTAGCATCATTATTCAGTAAACATGTAAAATTCTGTATATTAGTTTTTAGTCTGTAACTTAAAAATATGTTAAGATTGTTTTGTTCCTGTAGTGCAGCTTATGACAGAGTTAGTAATGCTTTTTAAATTTGGTTGAATACTACTTTTCTTAGATATTAGCTTCATTATTAGGGACTTTTTGTCCCTGTGGTTGTCTTCTTATTTTTGTGATGCCCATGTGCTATCTTTGCTTCAGGCTTGTAGGATGACACCGATTACTATTCATCTTGTTTTGTCTGGAAAGATACCAGAATACTTTTTTTTTCAGGTGTGTGTATTCATTGGACATCTTTTTTTTTTTTTCCCCCTCTCTCTTTTTTTTTTTCCTTCCCCTGAGACTTCATTGCACCTATTATAGTGCTTGCTTAGCAAGATTAAAAACTAGCAAAGCCACCAGCTGTACCAGTCAGGGTCCCTCCTGGCTGTTGCTTGGATGGAGCGTGGTTTTCCCTGGCCACTTCCAATTCCACTACCATGCTGGGTAGTACATATAACCAAAGCTTGTCAACTGTATGACATCTGTTCACGATGCACATTAAATAAGCTCCAGGTGAGACGACTGCCTCCATGCAAGCAGATTCTGAAGTTTTAGTGCTTGCAGTAGAGGGTTAATGATTGGGGGCTGCTGATTGTCTTCAGGCAGGTGTTTCTACTAGGTTGGAAGAAAGGATTTAAGGGAAGAAGAGGCAAGAATGTGTGCTTGTACAGAAGTAGCATGCTGTTACTTATATGTGGTCTCAGAGCAAATGCATGTAAGAACTCTTTCCCAAATTATCAGTCTAGCTTTCTCCACAACTAAAATTCCATTTCTACTAGTTTAAACAGGAAGGGACAAAAGGCAGAGTGGCTTCTGCTGTCAGAGTAGTGATGTTCTCCTAGCTGTGTGCACAGCATGCTTGCACTCGGGAGGTGCAGGGGGAGAGAGGGCAGTGCTCAATCACATGATATTGCCTGTCTGGCAGGTGGCTGTAGTGTGAGTAGAGAAACCAACTGTTCACTATTTTGGGTGAATGAGGTTGGCTGTTACTGCAAGTGGCCCCACGAAGAAGTCCACGCATCTGTTGATAAGCACTGCTCTGCGTAGTGGGATCCTGAATGCTTATAGCTGCTTGCTGAAACAGTGAAGTTTCTGTCTGAGCTTTGAGATAGTAGGAGGAAAAGTTTTGCCAAGAGCCTTGCTGATTTTAATCTTTAGATGTTGGCTGTCAGGATTTGTCTGTACCTCAAGTATCTCTCCATTTCTGTGCAAGCACAGCCTTGGAATCTAGCAGTAAACTAATTTTTTTTTTTTCCACTCTCCCACTTGGTGCAGTGACCGAAACCTGGTAGAGAGGGATTACGGTTGGGTCTCTTGTGAGGATTAAGCACCCCTTCCACTAGCCTGGGACGCCTCCTGTGTTACAGAATCTGCCTTCAGGTCCAGGGATTTCCTCTAATATGTTGGATAAAGCCAAGACACTCCAGCCTGCCTATGTCGGGATTGTGCCGCTTGCAGAGACTGTGTCAAAGCAAGGGAAGAGCTGTTCAAGCACATATCAGGATTCATACCACAGCTTACGAGAAGGTTAGCAGGCTCTGCTTTCTTTGTTGTAGGCACTGTGTAATTGGTTTGTGGGTTGGGTTGGTTGTTTTTTTTGTTTGTTTTTTTTTTTTTTTTTCTTCTCTTGCATATTGAATCTTCCTGCTTTTTGTCCTCTGGGCAGTAGTCCAGATTTTGGGTTTCCCACTGACTCCCGTGACCTGTTGTCCCTGAGGGCGCTCATAAGCATGTCACAGGATGAGGCTGGAGCACTGTATGTAGTGACTTGCAGTGCCTGGACCTTGGGACAATTTCACTTTGGAAGTTTTAATTTCAGAGTTTAAATTTCTTCCTCTCTTTTGTCTATAGGGCTCCTGTGAGCAATGTTTAAAGGCTGTTTTATTAAAGGTGTAAAAGACTGAGTATTTTGTGTTAAGTTTCAGTATGTTGCTGTTTGGAGAGTGTGGAAGGAGTGGGGTCTGTATATCTAAATGTGATTTTGTTTTAGATTATGATATTCTCCTACAAATATATCTGATTTTTTATGGGAGTTTGACAATTCTGAAAGGTCATGTAGACGGAAAGAAGATGATGTGGAAGGACTGAGAAAAGATTGAGAAGATGAAAACACGACAGTGAGCCATTCATAGTGCACAGCATAATAAATAGCAACCAACAGGAACTAGGAAAAGACTACCAGGAAGAATGGTAGAACATAACAAATACCAATGGTAAACACAACAAGTTTTATATTTTATTAGAAATGCTGGATCTGTCTAGCTAGAGGTGAAATTCTAATAGGAACTTGAAGGAGTGAACGGAGATGTTGAGCACAGTGCCCTCTGAAGTAAGGTGATGACTGATATGGAGAGCAAGTAATGTGATCTGAGAAGAGCGGAAAAGGACTTTCAGTGACATTTTGGACAGAAAAGTAAAGTGAACAGTGGTGGGAGTTGAGGACAAAAAGCCAGATAGAATAAGGGCATGTTTGTTGCGGAAGGATGGCCAGTGTGTGGAAGATGATTTTAGCAGTTGCATTCAGAGGCTTTTTCTCTCATGTGCAGCTGTAGGTCTGCTGAGTCTGCCAAACAAAACTGTTAAGTTTCTACCCCCTGTTGTCACTCCCCTTACATGCCTCTTTAACAGATATCAAGAGTTAGCTTGTTATTAGATTTTTAAAATGTTACTATTTTTGTTGCTTGTTTTCATTGGAATACTCTTTGTTGAACAAATATGGGAAAGGAGAAGAAAACTAAGTCACAGTCCTCAAATTCAAGTTTGGGAGTCATAAATCCATTAGTATAGGCAGTATTCCCAGATTACTTTGTCTACTCTGGAGGCAAAAAACTGCAGCGTGTCAATCTTCAGAGGAAAGAAGCAAACCAAAATAAAAAAAAAGCCAGACCTTGCAGCTGTCTTGTATTTGCAAGGCATTGATTTTCACAGAAGGTGAGCACTCTGCATTTGGATGTGCCAGGATACATCTTTCATCAAATTACTAAGTGTCACAAGCTCTACAGTGGGTTAACGTGTAGAATGAGGAAAATGCAATTCTGTAGTTCTTTAATCAGTATAAAAACGCTTGTTGCTGTCTCAAGTTGAAGTGAATTAAGGTCATTGAATTCTTGTGTAATTCTGATTATTGAAAAAGCTGTGTTGACTCTGCAAAGTCTAGCAATATCATCAGTCTACCCCATGTCTAATTCATGATACTCTAATATCGTATTTGGTGAGAAAAGCTACTTTCTACCAGCTACCAAACGGGAAGGGTAGGGAAGGGAAATAGATGCTGCCAGCTTCTTTCATGTCAGAAGAGAAAAAAATAACGCTTTAGCTTTGCTGCTGCTCCATTCAAGTCTCCTGCAGTCTCGGGATGCCTGTTGTGTTTATGCTGTAGCATGCACTGTATTTTGCAAAGCCAAATCTTACAGGCAGTGGAGAAGCAGATACACTCATGTGTAAACCCTTACGCAAACTCTGGAAGTCCAGAATTAATACTGAGCTTAAACTATAACAACTGTTGTACCTTAGTTTTGGTCTCCCTAAAAATGAGACAGGTTAGTTTTGTTATCACCCAGAACAGAATATTTGTGCGCTTCTCTTCTTCACTGTTTACCACACACAGGTGAATGGGTGCCAGTCTGCTTTCTCCTCTTTATAAAGCCAGGCAAATAAGGGGTGTCTGTATTATGCAGACAATGCTTGTATCTATTCTCTTAATGAATCTCATGAATAGTGGCTATCTGGAATAGACTTCGTCTTGTTTCTTTGCCTCTGGAGAACAGATGGTCTCTTAATCTGATTTATTTGTTTTTTTGAATTGAGACTTGACATTGAAGTTTGGGAACTGCTGATCCTTTCCACACAGAAATGGATTTGACATGGGGAAGTCAAAGAACATATGCTTGTATTTTTCAAAGTATGTGCTGGGACAGTTATTTGTAAAATTCCTAGAATTCAGGAATCCATAAACACGTTTTCTATTCAAGAATGCCTTGGAACGATTTATTTTTCAAATACCAGAGCCCAGTTTGCAGAATCTAGACCAGTTAACACAACTGGTAGCCCCTCATGAAAGATATGAAGAGGGAATTGCAAGCTTTAGAAAATTTCAGAAGGCTACTCAAAAACCGATTAGCATTCATGTGAGTCTAGCTTAGAATTAAGTACTTCCAAAAGTAAATTCCAACTTTTCCACCTCTGTGCAATGTCTTTCGTTCGTTGCTCTTAAACTAAATACTGGTTTTAGCAAGTCCTCCTTTCAAAAATGTTCAGTGTGACTTGGGGGCTGACAGTGAAACTCACCTGTCTTTTTCCAAGATTTGTGTCTGAGGGCCCATACACACAGACAAGTTCCTGCGTGCCATCTGATCTGTGGTAACTGTGTGCACATTCTTGGTCCACAGCAAATGCGAGGTAATTTGAGTTAGCTCAGCCTTTGATTAAACTATTAATATCTGTTCAGTACTTTGAAGAGATCAGGAGTCATGCAAGTGCTTGTTGACATATGGCTTTCTTCACGAGTGATCGAAACCTTATTGTCAGAACGCCTCCGGGCACCTGAAGGTAAAGCTGGTCAGTGGCCGAACTGCTGCCAGTAGAGGGATGAAGAACCTGGATGGGTAGACCTGGAAGCTTTCCACACCCAGGAGATCCCCAGCGAGTCTTCCTAGTTGAGAGTGGACCTGAAGATGCTGTGGGAGATGTCAGAGAGATGCCTCATGCAAATGCATGGGTAAGGAACATCAGTAACCAGTCACAAAATGCACCAGGTGCATCTCTGAATTATGGCCAGATATGTCCCACAATTCAGAATTATTTATGCAAATAGTGCACTGACACAGAAAAACATAGAAAATGTGTTGAATGTATGGGGAACTAACCTGCTGGCATTTCTTGTGGCAAATCCAGAAGCACACCAGATGTATATAGTTAAGACTCCGTGTAGCCTTGTGGTGCAGCTGCTCTTTGCAGATGTGTGGCACAGTGACTGCGACTATGTTTAAAAGGTAAGAGGTGTAGTGAGGGTAAGATAATGATAGATTAATGTGAGGTGGCTCGAAGCTGGCAGTAAGATGGCAATTTAAATTTATTTTGCTTAATCCCCAGTGTGCCTTGTTTGACTGTGAAGACTCGAGGTGTTTCAGGGTATTTGTTAACTTTATGACACGAGTGGAAAGCTTAAGGAAAGGGTTAACGCTGAATGACCAAGGTTTTTGTAAGTCAGTCGTTATCAGTGGAAGGAGAGTCGTAGTGTTATCCCTGGAGTTGATTTCACATATTTTTTCGGTCCTGCTGCCCTAATGTGCTTTTGGTTTTTTTGGGTATGACATGTTTTCCCCTCTTGGAGTTTACTGAACTATTCCTGTCAGTGTAATGATCCCCAGCTGTTGCTTTAGCCTTAGCTATTTTCATGCTGGGAATGGGAGGAGGAGGAGGAGAGGGACAGAGGCTAGCTTGTTTACCACACTGATCTACTTCATTTGTTAAAAACCGGCTACTATAAACTTTCTTTAGCCAAAGTAATACTAAAAGAAAAGAGTTGTAGACTCGGACCTGTAAGAGCAAGGAGATGCAAGGACTCAACACATGCAGAAAACAAAAAGACTACAAACTGGATGTGGTGCAATGAGTGCAGCTGTCAGGAGCATTTATGCAGACAATGCTTTGAACTAGTAATGATACCAAGTAAAATTTGCAGTAAGTACTTTTCTGCCCTATCAACTGAATTTTCTTCACAGTTAAACTGAGCTTCATGTTCAGCTGCAGGAGTGCTGGGGTATTGATAATCCCAGCAACTGGGAAACATGTTAATAAAGCTTGAAAAAACTTGTGTGGTTCTGGAATTATTCATTATTTGATAATTATCCATTGATTTTTTTTTTTTTAAGAAAATGTCTGTATTTATACTTTTAAACAGCAAATGACTGATGCCTAGACCTTCTGGGAGCTGTTGAAAAGCATATGCTTTTTTGAAAACAGAACTATGATACCTGAACTCAGATTGCCTGTTTTGCATCCAGAAACAATTTCTGCAGTGAACATGCTTGTTCAGATTCCTTGCCAGACAGACGTCACTGTGACTCTCCTGCCCAGAGAAGATAAGGGTCAGTGACAGCTGTGGTTTCTGCTTGTGTTTTTGGATCCACATCAGGCTGCCTGTGTAAATCTTATCTCAGTACTTTTATCATCTATAAGATCTGTCACTAGTCACTTCAGATTTTTCAGCATTCTGTCACACCTGCAAGTCATTGATCAACAAGTTAACGAATATCTATACCAAAAATAAGTGACTGCTTAGATCTTTCCTTTCGTGCCCCAACTCCCATCTATCCAGTCTTTTCTGAGCATTGAATTACCGATCTTGTCACCTGCTGCTTCAATAAATTTTGATCCAAAATGTTAAAGCAGCACATTTCTTGGCAGGAGCCTCTGCAGCCTACAGTAGAAAACGGGATATGCACCCTGACATAGCTTAGGTTTATCGAACAAAAACATGCAGCAAGCCTATGGAGCAAATTGTGTTCCTTTTTCTTGGAGGAGGC